GACTGGCCTGTAGTTCCCCGGGTCCTCTTTCCTCCCCTTTTTGTAGATGGGAACCATGTTGGCCCTCTTCCAGCCCTCCGACACCTCTCCAGAGCACCACGAGTGTTCATAAAGCTGTGCCAGGGGACTTGCAATGACCCCAGCGAGTTCCTTCAGGACTCTAGGGTGAAGATCATCAGGGCCGGCTGACTTAAAAATGTCCAGCCCCTTCAGAAGCTCCTTAACTAAATCCTCACTCACTCTAGGCCCAGGTCATGACCTTTGTATAGGGTCCAAATTGTCATGACCTATGTATAGGGTCCACTGGAACTTACGTCAGAAGTGCACTGTGCAGTGAATCCTTTAATTTTGCAGCTTCCTTTGCATGTTTCCCCACCACTGATTGATTGGTAGAAGAGCTCGCCTCTGATTGGTGGAGAGGTCAGAACTGGAGTTTTAAATATGCCTCAGTTTTTGCCTCCTGAGGCTGAATCGTGGAGTGGCCCCAGTGGCCCCATTGCTTGCTGCTGACTGGATGGGAGGCAAAAACCATGATGTATTTAAAATTGTGGTTTTCACTTTCTGGCTATTGGTCACAAATGGCATAGCTGACGGAGCCCCTTTGCCAATCAGTGGTGGTGGGAGGGGGTACACATGGGAAACTGCAAAACTATAGGAGCCGCCACATAGCACTCTTCTGGCATGAATTCTAGTAGTCCCTATCTATGTAGGTGTATAGGATGTTGTTAGCTTTAGTTGACAGATGAACTTAATGAAGACGGGTGAGTTTCAGGTGCCTTGTCTTCATCTACCTGAGTTATGTGGGTATGTGTTTTAGCTACTTTACATGTGGTGGGGTTTTTTTGCCCAAATTTTAAAAACTTTTGGAAAAAAACAATGTGTTCTAAAATACTTTTTAAAGTACTTGTTTACTAATACTGAAAAACTATCTATTACTTTTGCCTTCTGTTTGCTCTTTTCCTGGGTCCAGATATTTTCAAATGGAGATGAACAATTGGAGAAAGCCATGGAAGAGATACTGAGGGATTCTGAAAAAGGCCAGAACAGTTATGCTACTGACTGTGAAAGCTCCAGTGTTCCTTGTAAGCAGGCAGCTGGAGATGTGTCAGCCTGTCAAGCAAATCACTCATCACCATCTTTACATCTAATTCTGGACCCTTCTATTACAGGTACTGGTTAAGTTGCATCTAGGTCATGAACTAGCGTTCTGAAAAATTGAAATAAACTTAAAAATTCCTAGTATTCAAAATTAGACTGGACAAAGCAATGAAGACTCATCTTGTCCAATATGGGCCAAGACAAACTACAAAGTAGATCATTTGCGTCTTGTTACCCAGTTCGGTATTACCATCTCAATCAAGGTTCTCATTTTGTCACTGTGTCAGTGGAAGAACTGCCTGAGCCTTGGTCTGCGTAAGAGAAATATCAAGCAGGGTGAAGGAAGCAATAGAGGTATCTTGTATAGTTTGTTGCCAGCTGTATCTGTAAATGTTATATGTCACAAATTGAAGTGTTTTCAGACCTTATTTCAAATGTTTTTTCTCTTTAAGTCCCTTTTACAAGTTTAATGGATTAAATACAAACAATAATGAACTACAGCCAGGGAAAGTAGAAATGTAAGAGAACTTCTGTCTATGGTTGGTATTGTAAGGAGAAGCGAAATGGGTCTTGGTGTGAAGAAAACTGATGCAGTGAGAATACTCTATCCTGCCTCCCTAACATTAACAATGTTTGCAGAAAATCCACTCACCTACTTTAAACACACTTTTAATGTGGTACTAGCACCAGCTCTCTGGCTTTCTGGAAAGATGAGGTCAAGTGAAGTTGTGAGTTGTTCTCCTAGTGCAGGGGTTTTCAACCTTTTTTGATCAGGGTACCCTGGCAGCTGGTCAAGAAACAGGGAGTCCCCCAGCAGCCTCTTGAGAAGCTGGGGGGGTGTCCCCCAGCAGTTGGTCTACGGGGGGGGGAAGGGGAGGTCCCCCGAGCTGTAGCAAAACCAGAAGTGCTGCCAGCTTCTCTGCACCATTTCTACGTATCCCCTGGAGCTTTCCAAAGTACACCCAGAGGTACATGTACCCCTGATTGAAAACCTGTGTCTTAGTGCATGGAGGGCTGCAAGAAACAGAAAAACTGGTCTCAGATGGGTGCCTCCAGTTTACCACTGAGTTCAAGGGGGATGTAGTAAAGGAAAAATCTCTTCTTCTGCAGTTAAGATGGTGAGGACCAACTTTTTGGCAGATGTCCCACAAATTAAGCCTGTGCCTTCCCTAGATACCACACAAGACCCCTTTCCCTGCCCCATCTGCTGCTGTGCTGCTTTCCCCCTCCCTTATCTGGCATGTGCCCTGCACAGAGGCCTTCTTTGTCTCTTGTAGTATGCATGCTGCAGGTTGGCCATCCCTGAATTAAGGTACCTATTCTAGCAATGTGGAGTAGATTATTTGATACTGTGACAGGTGTGCCTCTTCGGAGTCTGGCCATTAGTGACCCTGCCCACCTGTTATGGGCCAACTGCCTGCCTTCTAGCCTGCCATGCCTTGTTGTTAATTGCTTAATTAGAGGATGTTAATTCAGCAGGAGGCTGCCCATTTTCTGCCCCGATGCCAGGGGGCACTATCTGCGGTTCCTTTCCTTCCCGTACACCGCAGCCCAAGCCTCGCAGATGGTACTCACATGGGTTAGTCTGGGCCTTACAATATTCTGGCCCCCTTGTCCACCCTGGGTTTTCTGTGGCCCTGCTTGCGCCGGGGTCCCCATGCTACCGGGGGTCCCCTATGAGGCCTCCTCCAACTCCTAATAGCCTCACCCAAACCACCGGTCTAAACAGCAAACACAAAACACAAGCCCCTGGGCTATAACATAAAATCTAAGCTGTCTGGCTAAACAACATTCAGTCCCTACCAGGGAATTCTCCACCCCATAACAGCAATCAAGAGCTGCTCGTGCAGTCAGGACTCTCCCCTCTGCTCTGGCAGAGCTCCTTCTCCCTTGGCTGCTGGTGGGGAACTGCCTGCTTGGCCTCAGCCTGGGGTTGTATGGGAGCCAGGCCCTGCCCCTTCCAGTCAGCTGATTCCCACCAGTCACCCTGGCAACCCACAGCTAGATTCCTTACTTATTGCTCCACAAGTAGCAGGCACCTCAGTGCCCTGCTACAGATACCTACAAACATAAAGGGGTGGGAGAAGAGGATTAAGAGTAAGTGTGCGAGCAGTGTAGAAAACAAAAAATCTGAGTCAGATGAAGAATTGGCAGTCATGGAGATGTCTGGTTGAACTGTGGCACAGATTCAGTCAGCTCTGATGGTGGAAATCTGTTTTAGTAAAACTGAAGAAAAATTAAATAATGTGCTGGCCACAGTTAGTAGTAATTATTCCTAGTCCCTTTACATGGCTCTTACAGATGCAGAACCTAACATTACCATCTCTGAGGAAGGTGTTCAGGATTAGGAGGAAGAACTATAGTAGGCCTAGCCCGTAGGCCAAATCTGGCTCCTCAAGTTGAGAAATTTGGTAGTGCAGGAGTCGTGGTAATTAATACTGCCACACCTTCACTGCTGCCAAATTCCCCAGCCCTGCATGGCAGTCTGGGACTGGACCATACCTCCTTTCCCCTTCACTGTTGCATCTGGCCTGTGGAGGGACTGGGCAATGCCCATCTGGCCTGTGGGGCAAAAAGATTGTGGTTAGACTCTTAGGATTCTGAATCTGCTGAAGGGAAAGGCAGATATCCCATGTAATACTTAGAAATCTAGCATCCAGAACTTTTAATCTAAAAATGTTATCTATTATAATTTAAAATTGAAAGGAACCAGATGCTGTTACCAGCACAGAATAGGCATACAATTCTTTGCATGGTCCACCCCAGCAGTACTGTGCTCTCTACTGCTTTTCCAAAGGGGTCTGAGTGTCAAGAATTAAGTAGGCTTAGTGTTGAAAAACAGACAGTTTGGGGTGTGATCTGAGCTATAGTTTGATCCTTATGTCTGCAAGAAAGATGATAGAATTTGTCTGCTTTAGGAGAAAGTTCTTTTTGTTGTGGGAGACAATTGGATAAATGACCCTAAATTTTGATTAACCTGTGCCACTGAGGTACAGAGTTCAAGGCAACACAAGTGAATTTTAGAGTGTGCTGGAAAAACAGCTGTCAGACGGTAAGGAGTTATCAATCTTAACTTTGTGTGAACTTACATTTCCCTGTATAGATGCATATAGATATAGGTTTTACGAGTATATGAAAGGTATTACACGTTACAGGTGAAATTCAGCATTTTGTGAGAGGTTGCTGCAATGCCTCAGTGTTAGGAAAAGAAGAATATTTCACATTCAAAAGCTTGTCAAACTTTACCAAGTCAAAGATAGAGTTTTGTTTTGTTTTTTTACTGATCCAGTAAAAGACACCACCCAAAGAAATTCTTGCCTTGAATAATTCCTGGACCATCATGGCTATCAGATTACCCTAACAATCCCATTGGAACACTGGGCCATTAAATAACAAACTTCTCATAATTGGATGTAAACCATGAAGTATTATGAGAATATAAGAGGATTAAAATAGGTTCAGATGTGTTTTGTTGCAGGCTTGGTTAAAGGATAAACCTGTTCCACTATGAAGTGGATCCAGTGGATGAGGCTCTGTGAATATGATGAGAGGTAAATGGTTTGGTATGTCCACCAGCTTCAAGTTTAGCAGCAGTGGTAGGGTAGCTTACATGTATTTATTTGAGGTATTTAACCTGACTGTTGAACGGGATGGACCCACAGTCAGTAGATAAAGATGCTGATGTAAATGTAAAGGTATTCCTAGAATGGTTTATATAACAAAACAAATCAGTGTGGATCTCTTTCACTGCTAACACTTCACAAATGTACTGCATTACAGCCATTTCATAAATGCCATTCAACGTCCTCCTGACTTTTGTCTAGGGTAGCACTTCATGAAGTTTGCTTTAGTATACTGAAAAATTCTTTCAGGTTAACATCCTTAGATTTGGAAGGCAAGACATACTTTATTTATACTAAAGGTAGGAGTTTAATTATTCTTTTCTTCCTTTTCAGAAATCTCTGCTCCCAGACCCTCTTCTCCCAGTGAACCACCAGAGGAGGACAGTGTATTATTTAATAAACTGACGTACCTAGGCTGTAGAAAGGTTTCTGCCCCTCGCAATGAATCGGAAGCTCAGTGTGCAATGGCAGCTATGAAATCCTCAAGCCAATCACCTCTTCCCGTGACTCTCTATGTTCCAAACGTCCCAGAAGGCTCTGTAAGGTAAACTATAGGAGTTACTACTTAAACAAAAAAAGCTTGGGTTCCAACCTTCTTCCAGCACAGTGTTTTCAGTGAAATAGATAAGAGAAACATGGGCCCAAAAAGCTAATTTATCAAAAAATCAGTTTTTAGCCTGCTAAAGAATCTGACAAAATAACTGAAAATCCAGGAATTTTAACCAAGTTGGTAAGATTTCCTAATGGGGGAAAATATTAGGGGTGTGTGAAGCAGGCTGTATTGGATTTGGACTCGGATTTGGCCCAATTCAGGGGACAGTGATTAGATTTGTTGATTTGGATCGCTGTCCCCATTTGATTTGGTCAAATCTGAATTGGAAGATTTGATTCTGATTCGAGAATCTGCGGTTTGACCATGGACACAGCTTTATATGTGTTTTCTACATACCTTGAGGTACCAGGTGCGGCTCATGAACACTGAGATGGTAGGGTGGATGGAGTGTCCCACAGGACCACAGGTGGACTTCCGTTCCACTTCCAGGTCTGCTGCCAAGTGCTCCCTGGACCCAGGAGGCACCAGTCGCTGAGTCAAGGGGCGGGGTGGAGGTCCCCCACATGCTTCATGGTAGACCCAGAAGTAGACCAGAAGTGCTGCTGGGGGCTGCCAAATTGGGCCAAATCTCCTTCGAATCGAATCAGCAACCAAAGCATCACACAGCCCTAGAAAATATACAAGTTTTATTTTAAATCTTCAACATTTTTTAATGTTAAAGCTCTTTATTTCAGAGTGTTTGTGAGACAGAGTTGTGCTAATTCAATCTTTTTGATGCTTTTTGTGAGATCTGACTATTTTTCTGTATATTCTGAGTTATGTTTAACAGTAGACTGCACTACATAATGAGATAAGTATTCAGCCTGTCAATACAAAATATCTCAAGTTGATACCAATGAGTGTCACCTTTTGATAAATTCCAGAACATCATGTTTGGGATACTTAAAATCATGCTCAAACTTCTAAAAGAACGTAAGTAATGCCATTTACTGGGTCAGCATCAGTGGAGTTTTACTTATGTTCTGGGATGTGGTTGGGCTGCAATTTGCTGCAGTGTGGTCCAGATCTAAAGAGGATGGGCAGCTTCCTCCATCATGCAAGAGGGCCATACTGACTCTGCTGCCCAAAAAGGGAGACCCCAGATGTGAGGAATTGGCACCTAGTTTTGCTGCTCTGCAAGGACTGCCAGGTCATAGTGAAAGTCACCTTGCTACGATTGAAGTCTGTGCTGGTAGACGTAGTCCACCCCAGCCAAAGGTTTCCAGCATTTCAAGTACAACACATCTATCCAGAGCCTTATTTTATTTCTAGTTTGTCTAGACTGCAAGAATATTATGTATTCTTAAAAGGACAGTTGTAAAGATGATATTGTTGATGAGTTGTGTAGGCCTGTAATTAAAATCATAGGTGAAGAAATGCGTATAACTTATGTCAATAACCTTTAAAAGTGTAGTCTTATTTATGATGAAATCATGATACTTAAGCTCTGAATTTTGCTTAAAATTCCAAATGATTTCAATGGAAGCAGCATATGCTTTATTTAGTCTGTTTGGTTTTATAACTATATTGTCCTTTAACTTTTTTCTTGAGATATAAATTCACGTTAGACATAGGCCCAATTATATAATGCTAATATCTGAGGTATTTTTCCATAATGAAATTATTTATTAAGAAGTTATCTTCCTTTTAAATATGAACAATATTTTGTCAGTTTCCTTTTTACTAGCTTCTTTTTGTGGTTATCATAATATCCCTGGTACATCATTTGTTTTGAAACAAACATAAGGAACATTGTTTTTATTTCAGTAAGTTGAGTGGGCAAAATCTGTCAATGAATTAATATTTCCAGCATGGTAAAATATTAGTATTCTAAATGGAAACCACAAGGTGTGGTGCCTTGGCAGTGTTTCCAGGGTGATCATATATTTTTGGGAATTATCTGACCTTTGTAGCAGTGCTGAGGTCATGCAAAGGGGAAAGAGTTATAGGTTTCCCTTGCTTTATGTGGTAGATGCATTCCTGAAAAACTGCACGTAACTCGAATATGCATAAAGGGAATGCACTTTACAAGCTAATAAATAGCTGCCTGGCCCATGTAATCAAGACCTTGATTGCATCAGCAGCAAGGAAGTGTGGTGGGGCCGGGGTGGCACTAGACTGTTCCTAGTGGGGGTGCTGGGCCGGGCTGTGCTTGGGGTGGGCAGTGGTGGTGCTAGGACGGGGTGCTACATTGGGGGGTGGGCTGCAGCCACCTTAAAATTTGCCATAGCCCCCCCCCCCCCAACCTGCTCTCCCAGAGCTCCTGCTGCCTACCCTGAGTGCAGTGTGGCCCAATCCCCCTGACAGGAAGAACCCAGCCCCATGGGCTGGGGAGAGTGGGGCCTTGATCCTCTCTCCACCGGTGGTGAGGGAAGGAATGGGGCTGAGGCAGGTGCTACATAGCTGGGGCAGGGCATGGGACAGTGGGTGCAGCTCCTGCTGCTGTGGGCTGCTGCTGTGGGTTGGGGGCCAGGCTGGGCTCTTCCCGGTGGGAGGGGTTGAGCCGTGCTGAGCTTGGGGCAGGTGGCAGTGGTACTGGGAGGGAGGATAGGGGAGGCTATGGTGAATTTTGGGATGGCTGCAGTCTCCCCTGCCTCTTCAGCCCCGCTCCCAGCACCACCTGCCCCAAGCATGGCCTGGCTCAGGCCTTGCCAGGAAAAGCCCCAGCCCACAGTGGCAGCCCATAGCAGCAGGAGCC